AACTTATAAACCACACGTGAACGAAGCCCGCCGGGGATAGGGTCTTTCACACCAAAAAGGTTACCTATCTTAAAGGAAGAAAAAACTAATTTGATGTCTATGAAGCTATGAAGCTTAGTTGCAAGTGATGTTTTTTCAAAGTAACTTAGTAGTATGACCTGTATGGCGTATTGTCAATAGGTAATGTTATAAAACGAATTGAAAATGATTGCTGGAAGCTGGTACATTTAAAGTAGCGTATTGTAAGCTGATTTATGCACCGTGCCGTGAGTAATGCAGTTATGTACTTACTGCATCGTAAGTAATGTAAAAATCAAACAAAACAAAAACAATTACAAGGAAAAGCAAGGTATAAAGTTGTTTGGTAAAAGATCAGGTAAAAGATCAGGAATATATCACCAGGATCTAGGGGAATAGGAAAGAGGTATATTATCCAGAACTCAAAAATAGTGTTTTCAGTCATTGCATCACTTTATCTTTTGCTTTTTGCTGTGACAACGTGCAATTACCATATATTTTTGAGGTACTTGATTTCGAATTGATGAATAAGCACACGCGGTAATATAAAGAAATCAAAACCAAGCTGCTTAACCCAACACCTTTATTTCAAAGTTTCAACAGATACAAACCGATAACACACAAACGACGCACTCGAAAAATATATTTCTACTGTGAATAAACGCTTCTTGAAACGATCGCCGTGCTGCAGAACCTGAAAAGACATACAGTGACATGGATTAATAATTCATTGTTCATATCCTTGTATTGCATTTCTCACCACGAGACAGTAAGAAATAAATTTATTTAGGGAAGCTAACACTGAGGATCAGATATTTAGGACCAATGATGTTTTTTCATTAGTCATTTAATTGCCAAGCGATTAACAGCTCCACCGCCATAGGGAAAACACAGAACTGTACATCAATTATCCGCATGCCTGTAAATTAATGTAGTCCTTCCAAACGTTTTTCGTTTGTTCCCTATCCCTTTTGGCCGAGTTCTCGTTGAATTCATAACAAGATAATATTGACATAAATGGTCAAGCTCCCTATCTCCAAATTGCCTTCATAAATTGCCAACGTTTCGCTGTTCTATTACGGTTTCTTCATCTTAGTATTGAGGCAATATTTTATTATCGCCTGTCGCCTCGGTCAACCCAATCGTAGATCTAATCTTTCCTCTTCTTGGCTGGGTGCTATTTTAAACCCGGCCCCTCCCCTTCGTCCTTCCCCCTTCCCAACAACCTATTCTGATTCCAGCCAGCTTGTTCTGAATTAAACCTTGAAAAGCTTACCCTCAATCTGAGTGAAACCTTCACTTGCAGCCGCAATTAGAGCAGTCTCCATCTGGATTGAACAACCGACACATTGATTGACAATTTTGGTCGCATGTTTCGTCTTCTTCTTCTTTTTCCTGGTGCACTCTTTTCTGATCCTGAGCTTGGTTTTGTTGCTCATCATCACATCCGCAATGTGAGCAGTCTCCATCTGGATTGAGCAACCGACACATTGATTGACAACCTTCGTCGCATGTTTCGTCTTCTTCTTCTTCTTTGTCCTGGCGCACTCTTTTCTGTTCCTGAGCTTGGTTTTGTTGCTCATCATCACATCCACAATGGGAGCAGTCTCCGTCTGGATTGAACAACCGACACATTGATTGACAATTTTGGTCGCATGTTTCGTCTTCTTCTTCTTTTTCCTGGTGCACTCTTTTCTGATCCTGAGCTTGGTTTTGTTGCTCATCATCACATCCGCAATGGGAGCAGTCTCCGTCTGGATTGAACAACCGACACATTGATTGACAACCTTCGTCGCATGTTTCGTCTTCTTCTTCGTTCTGGTGCACTCTCTTTTGATACTGAGAAGTCACGAAAGGCCGTCTGTTTTCTTTGTTGACAAACGACTGGTCCATTCCATCGCGGCTACGAGATTTCACTACATTAAATTGAAATAAAAACGACATTTATCAGCATGGGGTTTTAACAAATTCATGTTATTTATATGCAGGTAGAATTTACTTCCCCTATATCCGGTTAATTAAATTCCAATATATGCTTTACAAGTATTTTAGCCGATGGCATAATCTCAGCTTATTTGAAACCCTACTTTGCAAGATTATTGCATCGGGCGGTGTCATTCATGTAAATATGAATGTAAGTCAAAGAGCGATTAACTAGAATATACCATACTTAAAGAATATACCATACTTTATGAAATGCAAAATACTTACTCGGAGTATATTTCACTCTTTATGGACTTAGTTAAAAAATGATAACCGTTTCTTAAAATTTTCCTTAAGAGAGCGGCAAACGGTTTATGCGAGACACGTGACTAAGGGCAAAAATTAAGTGATTCGTGAGTCGAAATGAAGTTACCAAGTACAGAAAGCGAGATTGTTCCTCTTTTTGGATAATATCAAAGAAGTGGGGAATAAAATTTGTTCACTATTTCGCCGAGATGATAAGTGGGGAAGCCTCAACAGTTGGCAACCCGCGCCGAGTGCTTTCAAAACAAACTAATTAAATTTATAAATTTATGTTGCTTACATGTAATTACCTTTTGGAAAAGATCGCGACGTCACGGACATCATGCAAAGTGTAAGCAAAACAAAGGAAATAGTCTTCATGATGAAACCTGAAGAGCAGCAGACTGCAAGATGATGAACAACAATCTAAATAAAAAGATGATAAACATAGTTTGTATAAATTACCTATATTCACAGCGATTGTTCTAAAAGAGGTTAGTTTAACCCTTCCCCCCTCCCAGGGTGTAGCAGCTGTTATTGTTTTGGGGCTAGGGGCATTGTTTCTGTTGCTCGGTCTATTGTCCTCTCAAAGGGTATCATACCATTCATGTGAGACCTTATGAGAGCTGCTACATGCATGACCCTTTACTCTAAGGGGCTGAAACATAAAGTAGCTGTTCTTTTATCCTTCGCGGACATTTGGATATTTTAATTGTGTGTCCGTCATTATTGACGTTACCATGGCAACCACAATTTCATGTGGGTTTGGCCAAAAATCAACTTTTTGACATAATTCTGTATTATTTCCAGTTTTTCTTCATCAAGTTTCAGAAATTCACCAATTTGTTCTTTTCACAAGCATTCTGGCTTGATTTTGAATTAATTTCCTTTAATTTATTTCTTGACTTTTCAAGAAAATAGTAAGATCCAGGACGGCGGATCCAAGGTGGCGGGTCAAATGACGTCACAACCACAAATATGGTATCATTTTTTAGAGCTAGCTCAGGGCTATCTAATCAATGTAGATTTATCTCGCTGTGCCTTAAAAGAACGAGGACCCAAAGGGAGGGCCCTATCCACCCACCCTTGTACCATGATAGGAGTATGAGTTAGTTTGCGCGTCCGAGGGTTAAGGCAGCCCCCACACTACGCCGGATCGAGCAATTTAAACTGAAAACGCAGCATTATTTCTACGGTTAGGCCTACTGTCCACACTAATCTGTCACGCAAACGGAGCTTTTCGAAAACACTCTTCAAACTGGAGGAATTTGAAAACACCGGCTTTACGTTTTGTCTTGAGGAGGTAAAATATTTTGAAAACGGGGAATGGGCCTGAGCTTCTCCCAACCTTTAAGAACACCCAAAGTGAAAGCTAACGTCCCGTTCACAATACGCCCGAAGAATTTGAAAACGGAGCTTTCACTCTGAAAACGCATCAAATGTTTTCCGTCCACAGTACGCTGGAGGAATTTGAAAACGCAACAATAACCGGTCGTTTTGGATTTGTGGTTGCAGAAAATTCGGTCAGAGAAATCACATGGTTATCGTAAAAATTATATCATGGTTAACGAAAAGCTCCGTTTTCAAAATGTTTCCCGTCCACACTAAAACGCAAAGTCGGCGTCTCCACATTCTTCCAGATTGAAGAGCGTTTTCGATAAACGGATTAGTGCGGATGGAAACCGAAAAAATAAAGCTCCGTTTTCAAATTCCTCCGCCGTAGTGTGGACGGGGTCTAAAGAAAACACTGGCAAATTTTTATCAACTGCACCATCATAGTATCGTGAGTAGACTCAATATTTTCGCTTTGTTTGGCTGTGTAAGGTTAGATTAATTTAGTGCAAGAACGCTAGAGCTTTGAATCACGCTGGCATCGGGAGGGAGGGATGTGATAACAACGGTTTTTGTGCTAAGCTAACACAAAAGTTCTCTATTTACATAAAGTGGGCAGCCAGAACACGATGACGTCACAAAGCAAGATACGTTGGCGGTCTTTTCTTAATCTATTATGGATAAATTTCATAACAGAATAAAATATACTTTATTTTTATTACTTAGTTTTTCTACCTGGGAAATATTTTAATTATGTAGGCGGCATGGAATTTTTCTTTTCCACGTCTGGACCGCCAATTTGTATTTACACTTTGAATAGACGCTAAGCTTAAAAGAAATTTCCTTTGGACATGATTACTATCGGCTTTAGCGCCTTGGGCCAAAGTCTATACGAATCGCCATTTCGTCTTATATGCGTCGTCTTGTACTCCAACTGACACTCAGAACGGATGGATTAGGAGCTTACTATAGGATACAAGACTATCTATGCTATCTCGAAGTTACATTGAAACAAACGACTAATGACTTCGCAGCCAGTGTAAACAGAATTGTCGATAAGACTCTAAGTTCAAAGTGTGGTTCAGTGTGCCGGATCATGACCGGATGGAAAGAACAAACTGTAGGACTTTGCTTTGATCACTTGACAAGTTCGAGCTCTGAGAGTTGTAAATAGTTAAAGATTAGTTGACTGCAATAAACGTCTTTGAAAAACATTAGTTCGTTCATTTTCTCGGTCTTGTCTACTCGCATAATTTTAGGTGTTAATGTACCCCAGGGAGATTATTTTGCAATAACAAAGAAACAATGGAAAACTCTATTGTATTTGAACAAACAGAGTTGTTTTGTTCTGTCTGTTAAGTCAATACACCAAATAGTAATCGATTTATTCGCAATCATAGATTTTTACAATGACTGAGGCGTATAAGACGAAACCGCGATTCATATAGGCTTTGGCCCAAGGCGCTAAAGCCGATAGTAATCATGTCCAAAGGAAATTTCTTTTCTGCTTAGCGTCTATTCAAAGTGTAAATACAAATTGACGGTTCAAACATGGAAATGCAACTTCCATGTCGCCTACATAATTTAAAATATTTCCCTGAGGTAGGAAAATTAAGTAATAGAAATAAATTATATTTTATTCTGTTATGAAATTTATTCCGTAATAAATTAACGAAAGAGCGCCAACTTATTTTGCCTTGTGACGTCAAGGGAGTTAGTGAGTTTTGCTCGCCCTAGGGAGTTAGTGAGTTTTAACCCATGACACGTGATACGTTCTCCTCCAATCGAAAAACGTGTTTGAGTTGGGAGGTGTAACAATAGTGTCTATTTTAAGCGCGGCCGTCGTCAATCTGTTTTCACGGTTTTTTTAATGTCAGTCCTTGAAGTACAACTACAGTTTTTCGCCCGTTACGTGGTGTCAGTGGAAATGAAGGAAAAAAAAAACAATACGGGCAAAGCCTGCAGCCCAATGTTCCTTCTATCTCATAAATCTCGTTAAACGCATTAGACTTACATTAAAATTTGATCAGTAGCCCGCGAAAGAGTTCAATATTTGAAGTTAGGGCGAAAACATTTTCAAGACGACTATCTTAAACCAAGAATTCTTTTACCACGAGACTTATTCAAACTTTTCAGTCATCCGAGCAAAATATCAGAATTTTTTGGCATCCAAGGCTGAAGAATGCGTAACGTTAACGTCAGTCGTTAACATCTGTATCGTTAACATCTTTATCAACTGTCGGACTTAATGAAAGTGAAGTATGATCATCGCAGTAAATTTTCCAATTTAAGCAACTGGAAAGAAGAAGCCTGAAAAAAATCAGGGCTTCAACGGGATTCGAACC